CACAAGGACTGCGGTTCCAAAAAGAGGACATGTCCGGGAAAACCTGGATGTATGGTAACCCTAGAATTTTAGGCCTTAAAGGCATAGTCCTCTATACCACTGGGGTGACAATTCTGTACCAGGTACAATAGTGTGGTACCATTTTTGACGGTAGAGGAAAAAGAATGTCACCAGTTGAAACTATGGGAAGGAATTTTATCTTAGTATGTGCAGTAATCACTGATATTGGGATTAAGTTCCCCAAAATTACCCAGGCCATCCCTATGAGGGCCAGCAATTAACCATTATGATATTTGAATAATATTCTGTATTTCTCTATAATATTGTGCAGCTCTCCATCCCAGGAGCTCTCCACACATTCATGAACTTAGTCTCACAACAGACCACTCTTTTCAAGCATTAAGTGAAAGAACGTGTAGTATCTCTGCATCAAGGGGTAACTTAAGGTTAAGGTAAAAACAGTGGATCCTGCCTCATTAAGGAAACAAGGGCAGGAAAAAATATCCAAACTGGTAACCATAGAAATATTATGGATTCTTTGGAAATAATGTTCTCATGAGCAATTCCCTTTGTTTACTTTGCTCTTCTCTTCTCCAAAATTCAGTACCACTTGAAGAACTCTCTTTCATAGTCATCAAACCTGGGGCCACGTCCTGCATATTTTAGCCATGCAGGCAAGAACCTGTGAAGTTACTGAGGCACCAGTGATGTGGAAAGCACACATTTCCACATGTGGAAATGAGGACGAGACCTTAGCAATACACCCTTTGACTTCACTGGTATCAGGACTATATCCTTTATCTTTCTGCTTGCATGGAAAGCAGCAGGCACAGCACTGTCTGTTTTAAAAGCATTACCCAAGACAAGCAAGAAGATTATCTAGGGTTGGTTTATTTTTTTATTTGAAGAGAACTCAGTTTAAAAGGAGCACATAAAGTTAACAGGCCAGGTTCCTCCTCACACCTTCTGGTCCCACTGCTGCTGGGCCAAATGCTGCAGTCCCTCCTAATATTCGCAAATCCCACTGGTGTTTTGCAAGAAGATCCTACTTGTGCTTCTTACAGTATCATAATTTACTGTTAGAGGGGATGAACTCTGCATCTGTGTACAGGGGTTGCACTAGATGACCCGTGAGGCTCCTTCTAGCCCATGTTTCTATAATATGGGGATCAGCATATTATAGAGACAAGATCCTGCCATTAGGATTCCTATCCAGTTGTCCCCTAGATTTCAGAGTGGAACTGATTTGTAGTTCAGTTTCTGGCCCCTCTCTACTGACCTAGGAAGCCCACCAATGCAGACTCCCACAGCAAGCAACATTTAAAGCCACACATTCCCTTTTTGTTGGGAGTACCATATGTCAGGTCTCATAGTAACTTACACTTACAGCAAAGTTATTACGAATTATGAGCATACAACAGCCATATAAAAATGCAAGAACCCAAGGAGGCCCCTGGTTTCCTTAATGGAATTAGTTTTTCCTTTATGAATTCCAGAGTCAAATGTTGTAAATGTTATTCACATACTCCCTCCTCTCAGCAAAAAAGAAATATCTGCTAGACACATGTTCTGAGCTAGAGAAGATATGACGCGAGTCAAGAGCCTGGAAGGCTGAAAGGAATAGATGGGGGAGAGCTATGCAGCCCTTGATCTTTGTAAGATTTACTGCCTTTGCCTCTTGCAAAGATCTTTTTTTTTTCCTGGAAAATTGCTAGCTTCTAGCAATTTAATTTTTTTTTTTTGGCCAGGGCAGTAAACAAGAACTTTGAAGCGGGAAGGAAGCCAAGAGAAAGTCAGGCCTGTTAGTCACGCAGCTGTATTTCCTGTCACAAAGGACCCCAGTTGAGTAATCGCTCAAAATATGCTTGTTATTTTTTCCCTATTTTATTTAATTCAAGCCTGCCAATATCTATAGTAAAGAAACCAGAAAAAGTCTCTGTATCTCAGAGGGGGAAAATGACGGAGAAACAGACACAACTTTTCACATTATTTCCTTTCTCTGCTTTTAATGAGCTGAATACTTTTCAGTCACTTAAGAAGAATGCAAGCAGTGCAAAGTGGATCTGGGCCTCAGTATATTTCATAGGAGAAAACTGGCAATTTCAGGCAGTATGGTTAGAGAAGGGGACTCCTGGGTTCTGTTTCCAGGTGCTGCCACCAACTAACTCCATTGCCTAGGGTCAAGCCACCTATCAGTGTCTCCACAATTCTCTTTAGCCATAACTAAAATACAGATAATAATACCTATTTTATAATGCTGTTGTGAAGCTTAATTAATTGGGCTAAGTACAGACAACCAAAAAGCCTGAGGCTGACTCAATTCAATCTTTACAGGTTAGTCTAAGCTGCATAGATTGAACTGATAAGCAAGTGAAAAGACATTCACTTTTGATTCCAGAAATGCAGCCACATGCCTGCAGTGGCCCAGATGAGAAGCCGGGGGGTGCTAGATCCCACCTCCCTACTCTGCTGGAATAGACAGCTTGGGCCAAGGCTAGCCAACCCACCCTGCAAGGGGGTTGCTAGGTAAGTGCAAAGTCTCCTGGGATGCTGAGGGTGAGTTAACTTGAATTTGGAGGGGATCTGGGACAGAAGTTCAATAAACCGATTTAACCTAAATCAGTTAAGTCTGATACTGCATCCATCCAGGTTTATCTTAAATTGGTTTCGGACATTTTGAAAGTGGTTTATGTGCACTGAACTTCTGTTGTGTTACAGATTTAGACAGGTTTCTGATCACTTATACTAGCTCATGTGTAATTTCTGTCCTTAGCCTTAATGCTTATAAAGAGCTTTGGGATCTTCTAATGAAAGCTGCTATAGAAATATTTTCCTAGAGGGAAACTGGAAATTGAAGTCCAGTCAGTGTTTAACAGGAGACTGGAAAAAGTTTTTTATTTAATCAGTAGAATATTACTATGAACAGCTTATGAGAAAACCTGTGTGGGAAGAGATAAAATCAGGGATAATGGCATGAAATTAAGAAAGGAAAGACTTTCTGACCGTTAGCGTTGCTGCATTGTGGAATAACGTCCCAAAGGAAGTGGAGGAAGCATTATTTCTGGAGGCATTCTAAAGCAGACAAAACACTAACAGACTTCCAATAGGGAACAAACACCTGTGGCAGGGCACTGCGAGTTCCTGCCACGTTAAGGGCCTGGAGCTGGCAGCGGCTAGGTGCCTGATGAGGACAGCCATTTTGAATCTGGGGCTGCCCATATAAACAGGGAAGTTTTGCTGCCTGGAGCCCTGGCCAGAGGGCTGCTGGTATCATCTGGAGGTAAGGGAGGAGCTGTAGGGGATGGTCAGGAGGCTCTTGGTCCTGGGCATGACCTAAAACTGCACCGTGCCAGGAGTGGGTGGCCTGGTGGGGCTCCCAGTGGTGCGGGAGCCCCCAGGAAATACCAGGCCAGTTACCACCCCAGTGAAAGGTGGGTCGGGGTGCCTTAACCCCTAGCCCCCACAACCGGGTGGATTACCCCTTTGTAGGGTATGGAGGGGGGACCCCCAGAGAAAGAGAGTGAGGCCATAGCCTCAGACCTGTCTGGACTTCCCCTGACTGGTCAATGCTGGGGCCAGGACCAGAAGGGTCGAAGGGCTGGGGGCCCACCACGAGGAATGCCAAAGAGCTGCGTGCCTGGGGTTCTGACTGGCTGGGCGGTGGGTCAGGGCTAGTGAGCCAAAGGTCCTGGGGGGACCACACCCTGAAGGGGAAGCAGTTCAGGGAGCTATGCTGCCCAGGATGAAGGCGGATTAGGCCGCCAGAATGGAGGGATCATAGAGGGGTTCAACACTAGGATTATGGGGCCCAATGTGGGGGCCGGTGATTGTGAGATCATCTGGATGCCATCTGCGAGGCTTGGGCTGTGGTGTAGGGGAGGAATGGAGCCACAGATAGCGCCCCCTGGCATCAGGGCAAGAAATGGGCAGCCTCCCGCTTGATTAACATCTATTAAATAATTAACAACAAGGTGTGGTGGGCAATAAGGCAGGCGGTTAGCCCAGAAATAGGTGGGCGGGCCAGAGTGAGATCGGCCCGGAGCAGGCCCCTTGTTACAACACCCTTCATGTTTCAAGAGGGAGATGAGATAATTTAATAGGGCTTTTCTATTGCCAGATTGTGAAAGCCTAAAATGTTGTATTTTTTCCAGGCATTTGAAGAGATAATACCTCATTTCTCAATGAATGCGATATCAAAATGCTAACCCCCCATTATAATCCCCCCCTCCCCCCCAGCCAAATCAGTTCCAAATTCTGTTAGGCAAAGCCCAATAGTCAAGTTCCAAGTCTCAACTAAGCAGAGCTCAATCATTTACGTCCATGTGGCTCTACCACTGGGCAAGTATCCTCCTTCTCAGACCCATCAGTCTGAGGCTTCAAATACTCCTTAAATCTGTGGCAGGCATCCTACATGCAAGTCCAGGGCCCAGGGACCCTGGGGTTTGGTTAGGGTTACCATATTTCCAGGATCAAAAAAGAGGACACCTGTGGGGGGGAAGGGCAGAGCCTGGGGTGGTGGGGGGGAGAAGAGGTATGACTGTGGAGGGGACAGTAATATGCCTTTTCCCTGCCTCTGCCCCTCACTCTTAAGCCCCTGCCCCCCACCCCAGGCCTTCCAGTGTCCTTCACTCCCAACCCACAGCCCCTGTCCCCGCCAGCCCTGCTGGTGCCCCTCACTCCCAACCCAGAGGCCCCTGCCCCCCCAGCTTTGCTGCCCACATAGCTCACACATGCACATGCACATTTTCTGTCTCTCTTACCTAGGAGCAGCTTCCTGGGAGAAGGGGGGGGTGGTATGTGCAGGTCACATGACCCCTGGCAGCCAGTCATCTTGCCTGCTGCTCCCAGCCCCAAGCAACCAAGCTGCTAGTGCCCAGGAAAGCAGAGGCAAAGTAAAAACCTGGACATCTGCATACAAAAAACTAGAACTCATGGTTCCAAAATGCAAGCATTTTAAAAACTGCCCAGACACAAGAACAGGGGCCAAAAAAGAGGATGGGGGGAGGAAATCAAATAAGCAGTCCACCATTACCACAAAATTGTGCAGTCAAGTCCTGCCTATGGGGAAATTTGCAGGGGTCAGCATGCCTGGTATGCAAGGGACAGGCCTCACTCTGGGAAACCTACTGTTGTGATCATGGTATCTCCCCTGCCAGGTATCCTTCTCCACAAGAATAGGTTACTGCAGCCCATCTGAATAACTCCCCATTATAATCTACTCTGAAGTACTGCCTAGTGTGGCTAGGCCACCTATGAAGGGTGACCATGAGCCTATTTAAGGACATAGGCCAGCCAGTGGCTTCTGTCCCTCCCTATGGTTCCTGACTAGATGACCGTGTGAAAATGACTGCAAAGGGAAAAAATTCTGTTTGGGTGGCTATGTAAATATAGAGTTGATGATTATACTTTACACTACATAATAATACAGCTTCTTATACTGCACAAGAAATGGAGTTTACATTTGTGTGTAAATTACTGGTAATTTCATATAATTCTCTAATTTGCACGCATTCGGTATCTCCGATGTGTAATGGTTCCAAACCACAGCTTGTGAGCAAATGTGATTTATACAGCAATGTTAATCACAGTTTTCCAAAGCAGCAAAGTAGTGTAAACTCAAGTGGATGTGAGATTTACACAGATTTCTGTGAAGACATACAGTGAAAGGCAGTTTGTTCATTTTGTACAGCATGTTAAAATTTTAATTACTATGTATTTCTGCTGCACTGAAAATGAGATCCTTGTTCCTTTTTGCCCAAAGGTTGAAAATTACCTGCTTCCCTGCTGTGCAAAATATGCACATTCAGCTCCCCCTGAGCATACTCTAAGAGAGGCAATTTGTTCTATTTACATATGCAGTGATTTGTTTTGTGAGAGCAAATGGTCTTTTTATACCTCTCAATGACTCTGGATATGAATTTGGTAGGCACAGTTTAGGCAGCTATTAGGTGTTTGAGTTCTTTGCTCCAGGCATGAATTTATGTAAATAGTGAATTTACAAGTATAAAGCAGACTTTGGGATGTGTGAATATTCCTTATGTTATAGTCATATGCAGTTATGAGATACAAATCATATTAACACCTAATTTTATTAATTTTACCCCATCACTAGAAATAATTGATCATACTCAACCCTTTGCATTTTCAAACCAGTGCTTAAACTATAACTAATATCTATTTACCTCCTTATTTTAGGCACTTAAGATAGGCCCCATTATCATATAGTATCTGAGACTTCCTGTTCTTTACTCTCTGAGGTAGTTTAGTACTATTATCTCCATCATGTTGTAGGTGGGTTACTGACCCGGAGAACTTGATGACGTGGCCACTGTCACAGTCCATGAGGCTGATAAGAGTTACTCTGTTTTACAGTTGGGGAAACTAAAACTGAGAAATTACGTGGTGTGCCCAAAGATAACGTGTTTAGCACCAGAGAGGGATTGACAGGTTACCAGCTGCTGGGTAACTCTCTTGCTCTTGGGTTACTCTTTTGCTGTCTTCAATGAAGCAATGATGTTTGGTGTAACAAGCAGCTGAACCTTGCTGTGTTCAGTGCAATAGTAGTGAGAGGTGTGTGAAGAGAAATAGCCGCTTTATTAAGAACCACTCAACTGGGAAAACAGCATAATTCAGTGCACAAGACAATGGATTGCAACTCAGAGAACTTGAGTCCTTTTCCCACCCCCGCTATAGATCTTGTGAGACTTAAAGCAGGTTAATTCATTTCTACCCATCTCAGTTTTCCCATCCCATAACAGAACTTTGGCATCTATGGATATAAATTGCTATAGTTGTTCTCCAACTCTCGCTTAAGAGACTGGGATGATTTTCATTTACTTTAATAGAAACTGGAACTGGTGACCTTATGCATTGTCATTATTATTAATTCCATGAGAGTTTGATTCTTATAGTTCAAATGGTTCCATAAATTCTAGGCATTCAATTCCCTGGCATGCATATCAAGTGAATATGCATAACCAATGAAAGCACACAGTCAGAAATAGCACTCAGAACAATCTGTGAATGGCTAAGCAGTTACCCTTACAGAGAGGAAACTATTGCCCAGAAATTTTTGAGAGAAGGACATTACTTTCATTAGTGTTTGTCACACAGTACTTTTAGCTCCTGCTGACCTTTGACAACCATTCTGTTGTTTCAACAGTATGAACACACATTTTTGTACAGGGCAGAGAAAAGCATTTACCAAATTGCTTAAAGCCACTAAAATCCTGTAGCTCCAACTCGGGGGAGAAAGAAATAAACACTCCAAGAGGGTTTTGCAGTCTCTTAAGTGTTTGAACATGAAAGGCATAGAGAGAAGTGACAATTTTCTCTTGATCTGGTTGCAGAAAGAGGCCTGTAGTTGTGACCAAACACAAGTGCATGGCTGCATACAGCTTCAAAAATGGCTGATTGGGTTAAAATCTGAACCCTCATTGCATGAGGGGTCAGATGAAGACATTTCAAAACAGACTATCTTCTGTAACTTCTGTCTGCGCTGCCTGCCAGCCTATTGCTGTTTTCAGAATGGCAAGGGGGAAATGGAGTAGGAGTTTGGTTGGGGGGGGAGGGAGGGTTAGCCCCTACTGGAGGGGTGGGTGGGTGTATAGGAGCACCCTCAAGCAACTAGATTCCCCTCCCCACTGGAACCAACAGTGAATTTCTGTTTGGTCTGGGGGATGGTTGTAACTCAGAACCAGAGCTGACTCGGGGGGAGGGGGGGGCAAGTCGGGGTGACCGCCCCAGGCCTCATGCTTTGGGGGGCCCTGCGGAGCTGGGCGGAGCAGCAGTGGCACAGAGCTGGGCGGAGTG